ACCACCCCTAAGCTTTGAGTGGACTCATCCTTACCGCTCATGGTGGCAGCTGAGGGACGAGCTCAAGGGGTCCTGTCCGGGGGGGTTGGGGGGGGCCGGGAAAAACGCGGACGCTGACGAGGCAAGCGAACCCGGACCGGACAGGGAGGGGGGGGTAAGGAGGAGGGAGCAGCGCGCCACAAGCCCAGCCTAGGCCCCACCTCTTCGCTACTGCCCCGCCCAATGAGGGAGGGAGAAAGGAGGGACTTGCAGAAGAAAGGCGGTCAGGTAACCCAATGGCAAGACTCGCTTGCTCTCTAAGGCGTGTAAGACAAAGTTGCGTGCCGGGTGTCCGCCCTAAAAGGCCGCCTCCTCAGTTTTAAAACCCAATGAAAGACGCAGGAAGTGAAAATAGGCGGGAACCATAAATGATAGGCTTGGAAAGCAACCAGTCAACTGCCAGGCGGGCTCCCTGAGAGGTAAGGATAGGAAGAGCTTTGATCGGAGTGACAAAACAACGACCAACCAAAACCCTGGACGTGCCTGAGCAAAGTTCTGGTGGGAGGAGAGATAAAAAGTAGGCAGGAATGGGATAGGATGAAGCTCATCGAAACCAATTAAGAATCAGGCGGGCATCCAGGAAAGTTATGATTGGATTAACGCTGAAAAAAGACAAGATAAGACGCGAATTGACGGAACTAAAAGCCAATTAAATGCCGAATGAACTCTGAGGGCGGCAACTTAGAGTAAGCAGAGGAGAATTAGCGTCTCCGTCAGTCACTCGGTCCAATGAGGAAGCGAAGAGAGCCAGGGCACCGCCTCCATCTTGGCCAATGGGCGTTACTAAAACTGCCTGTTGCGGGGGAGGGAACAGGGCTGTGCCAGGAGGGGTTCGTCGCCATATTGGCCCTTCTCAGGGGACGTCTTTACAGTCACTAGGTGGTATCTTCAACGGCTCAGCAAGTGTCAGGGCCAAGAAACTCGAGGCGCAGTTATCACTCGCCACAGGGCTCGTTTGAGTCTTCCTTTAAGGACCCTTAAAAGCACTTCTCAAATCTGACGGCTCCCAGGCGAGCCCAGAGGCAGGCGGATGCCTCTGAACGTGGGTGTAAACCCTGACGGCGCGGGCGCTCACCCCGTCAGCCAATACTGAACTGACCAATTTGCAAGGTCTTTATGAGGCTCTAGCAAAAGCCATTTTTTTATCATTTTCCCTAAAGGTGTAGACCCTGTAACGTATAGCGGGTTAACTTTTCAAGAGCTTGTCTTAAAGCCGGGGTAGGGAATCTTTTTTCTGCCAAGGGCCGTTTGGATATTTATAACATCATTCAAGGGCCATACAAGATTATCAACTTAAAAATTAGCCTCCTATGTTTTGGTCAAACATTCCATTAACTCACCCCCGAATGCCTTGGCAGAAGCCAAACCAAATGATTTTGGGGGGGCTTTATATGAGCTACTTACTCCCCCCACACACAATTGTAAATACCCTTTGTGCATAAAACAAGATAGTAAGAGTTCCTGCTTTTTGTGACTACAAAGATGAAAGAAGATTTTTCCCCAGGCACCTGAGTTTCTGGCCTCCTGTTCTGCCTCTCCTTTATCCTAGTTTTGGTGGAGGCGGCCTGGGTGGCTTGTCAATGATATGATGAGGTCATTTTCTTTAGCACTTGTATATTATGTGTTGTCACTTTATTATCTACAATTTCAGCACTTGATGATAGATTGTCATGTTTTAAAGTATGGATTCCCCTAAAACAGACCTTTGCTGCTTTGGGCAGAGGCTAAAGAAGGTGAAGTGATTGTGGAATGTTAGGTGCCTGGGTCATGTAGGTGTTTTTTTATTCTTTATGTCATCCTCGTAAGGAAGATATTAGTAAGTATTAGAGATATTATGTATTTTATAAGTGAAGAAATTAAGGCTGGGAAGTAACTTGCCCAAGGTCACAAAGCTAATGAGTTGTAGTTCCAGATTCCAACCCAGAATAGTCCCATAAAAACTCTTCCATTAATTCTTTAGTGAATAAAGTAATGCCTTGTGTAACCATTTATAAAAATGGGCTTAATTGGGAGCAGGGTGGATGGGGGGAGGGGAAATCAGTACTTTCAACAATAAAGATAAATTTAAAAAATAAAAGCTATGTGAATGATGAAAAAAAAAAAGGCTTAATTAAAAAAACCAAAACACTATTTTTTTCCTGCCTCTTTCCCTCCTCTGGCTTTTTCCTCCCAACTCAAGGAAGTCCTTCTCCATGGCCTCCCAGAAGGGGTCTGAGCCTTTATTGTTTTTGTTTTTAATGTTTTTTGCTGTTACCTTCTAGCTACTGGGGAAAAACAACCTGCCCATACTTCCAGTTCAAATGGCATCATTCTCTTATTTTATTATAAAACATCACATTACATTAATATTAGCATCTTTCCCTAGATCAAAGCTTCTCAAAATATAATGTCAGACAGTATCAGAATCCTGTGGACTGCTATTTTAAAAGGTAGATTCCTAGACCCCCTCTCATACCTAATAAATCTGATTATCTGAGGTGGGGCTTGAAGGTATGCATTTTTAAGTAGCTCTTTCAAAGTGATTAGTCCCTAAGCCAGTTTTAAGAAACACTAAGGGAAGAAACGAGAGAAGAAACTTCCAGAAGGGAAGAAACTTCCCAGAGGGAAGAAACTGCTTTACTCATCTTTGTAAACCAAGCTCTGGGGATTCTAACAGCTGTTTAATGCATTCAGCAAAAGACCA